TCTTTCCGGGGACAATAGCAGCAAAGCTGATATTGTAGGTACATGTTTAATACACTTACTATGAGTACCTTTACATCAAATTACAACATGACACGCGTGCTCAAACACGATCCTGCAAAAGGTGTCATTCTTCCCAAAGTGTGCTTGTGATAGTAAAGAACTTTTACTCACGAAATAATACCACCATAACGAGTATGATGTCACGTTTGTTATAAGTGTGGTACAGCAGTGGCAAACTACGGAGATATGCGAGGAAATTGTTTGATTGAGGGTTTTGTCAGTTTTTTTTAAAGTTTCAACATGTTGAAAACTGGAAATATAATTTGCTTTCAATACTAGTAATTTGGCTCCGAATCTAATGTGATTTGTGCCGTAGGGCTTTAGACTGAAGTGTGAGGTTTCATGAGAAAGTTGTGTGAATAAAGAGCGTGCGCAACTTTCTAACGCTGTTCTAAAGCCTGCAAGCTTTCAGTTCAGTTTTTTCTAAATTAAATAAAAATTCTCAATGTGTTTTACAACTAATCAAATAAATAGCATTTTGGTTTCAAAACTTTTCCTCGCCTCTTTTGTTGAACCCAAACTAGCCAACGAGGCCTGCGTCCCTAAGTAGCAAGGCGCGCTTTACCGCTTTACTGCGCCCACCTTTTTGTTCCGTATTGAGTTTTTTGACATTCAACTTTCAAGCTCTATAAAAAAACAGCTAGGCTACATAGCGAACCACAAAGAAGATTATGACGCTTTTTAACAATTTGCGCAGCCAGAATTGTGTTAATTTCCGTGCATTTCATACGAAGATCAACCTTAGGCAGCACAGAATGTTTGAGCTTGCTCATCTAGTAACGTGTGCGTATTTGTGCGTACCATTTGCGCATTTTTCATGCAGTTTCAAGTTTTTGTCGTATGGTTTTTCGTTGTGTTAGAATCTGGGTTCTCCATTTTCCTGCACCGTTTCGACATTAAAAAGTCAGTTTTTGCCTATGGTTATTCATCCAGTTTTCGTAAAATTCCTTCTAGCAATGCCAAGTAGTTGTAAATGGATCTAGATCGTTAATTAGAATCACCTTTTGGCTTCTAGTGGTGATTTTGTGAATCGAAAAAGGTGCTCGTATAGAATCTCTCTGCAAGTTGGATTACTATGTAGCTTACATCCACATTCAAGTTCATATGTCAGTTTGTTCCATCAGCTAAGCAAAGCTAATACCTCAGACAATCCGCAAAATACTTCCTGGGGAAAGTGACCCCTAAATTTCCGTTGGGACACTCCTATTGGGGCTGCCAGAGCTGCCAGGGCGCGGCCAGGTAAGGCGGGGCCCACCCACATGGCCCAATAGGAGCCCCCCCCCCTTCCCCACAAGCTTTAGAAGTTTAGTTTTCCCCGGAAGTATTTTGCTGATTATCTGAGATTGTCGATATAACACTTACCAGTCACAAATGGTTATTGAAAACATCCATCTCTTCAGAATACACAGCTGAATCAATGCTCCAAGGCATACTTGTCTTCCCTTTGTTTAGCAGCCATATGAAAGAAATGACTAGCAAAAATACAAATAAACACATGTTTCTGTGTGGATGCAACAATATAAATTTTACTACCTGATTATTTTCTCCGATGATTCGTCCTGTAATGCTGACGATAAATACAAGTATAAAGTTTGCAGTTGTATCTTTTTCGTCGTGTCACCTCATTTGATCAAACTGTTTTTGCGATATTATGCCGCACAAAAGTGCCGTTTCAATGTCTCCATCCATGTTGAAATCGAAGCAAAACACGGGTATGGCATATTCTTAGTCTTGCGAGCACTCATCTCCCCAAACAATATTGTTTCACATACTTTTGTCCTTTATCCTTCAAAGCGAAGCCTAAAGCTCAACTTATTCACCCTCAATGTGTAATTTGCGGAGATAATCTGGATTTTTGTACCCAGCGATGTGTGGAACACCTCGAGTTGCTTGATAACAGATTTATGATCATAATAACATGAGTTTATAATTTTGCTTAGGGTTTTGACAGTTGATTGCTTCATTGTCCGAGCAGATAGAAGGCTGCTTATGTTGCTTCAAAGGAGGTAAATGCTCTTCCTCTTGCACATGAAGAAACAAGCATCGACTGTCTTCTCATAGTTCCAGTAATAAGGCGTGATCTGTAAAATGAAATTCGTAGTGAGAGCAAATGCTAATCGTGGTTCATTAGAGCAATGATCTTCTGAAAAAACAGCTATGCAATCAAAAACCTCAGTTTGTGAGGCTATGATAGCAGAATTTTTCAAGGCGATTAAAGGAATTTCTGCAAAACAAGTAAACTTTGCATTTTTGCTCACTACACTCCAAAAGACTTGCATGCAATGAATTATTATATTGGGCTTGATAATTCGCTTGTGAAAGCTAGGTTTATTTTTATTTCCAGGGAGAAATAACTTGCGTCCATAATAGAGTTGCGGCGCTCACACGGTGGTTACAACGTAGAATGAAAACCTCCCCTTCAACGAGTAACAGCGTTTTTGTAACCAAGCTTTCTTCAAACACATAGTGCATGAAAACTTACGAAAACGTAGTTAGGTCCCTCCACTAATTCAGTGGTGTTGAAGTAGTGATCTTCACCGCAGTGGGTCCAGTGATATTCGTTATCTAAATTGCGTGAGCCGTAGATAAGCATTAGGATGTGTACGTTGTTGAGAGAGATGAAGGATTGCATGCAAGACGTACTCTTTTCGTATTTCGTTCCCTTGATTCTTCCGATAAAGTAGTGACGTCCATATGGTAGCTTGCAGGAAATCTTAGCTGGATCGTACCACTTCAGTATGCCTTAAAATTTAAACTATTCATTAGTCTGCTATGTTCCCAATCATACGAAATATTTAACCTAAGATTCTTTTCAAAATCAGAGTTTATTGCCTGAAGAACGCACCTCGTACAAAGGCCTCTTCTTGTGCGCTTTCGATCGAACTCTCAATCGCACATTCGTAGAAGACGGTAATATCCATGTGATCATCTTCCTAAACTTGTAACGTTTCGAATTTGCAATAAGCGAGTTCTACGTTCGATTGTCTCTTTTCACCACGTGCTTTCAAAAACGAGGCACAAAAATAGAACAGGAAACATATTTGGACCCACAGGGTAGAAAATGTAGCAATACTTGTTCACTGGGTTGTAATGCCATCCAGGTCTGCATGGCTCTGGTGGTGGTGGTGGTTTTGTCACTGGTGGTTCTGTTGGTGGTGGTGGTTTTGTCGCTGGTGGCTCTGTTGGTGGTGGTGGTTTTGTCGCTGGTGGCTCTGTTGGTGGTGGTGGTTTTGTCGCTGGTGGCTCTGTTGGTGGTGGTGGTTTTGTCGCTGGTGGCTCTGTTGGTGGTGGTGGTTTTGTCGCTGGTGGCTCTGTTGGTGGTGGTGGTTTTGTCGCTGGTGGCTCTGTTGGTGGTGGTGGTTTTGTCGCTGGTGGTTCTGTTGGTGGTGGTGGTTTTGTCGCTGGGGGCTCTGTTGGTGGTGGTGGTTTTGTCACTGGTGTTTCTGTTGGTGGTGGTGGTTTTGTCGCTGGGGGCTCTGTTGGTGGTGGTGGTTTTGTCACTGGTGGTTCTGTTGGTGGTGGTGGTTTTGTCGCTGGTGGTTCTGTTGGTGGTGGTGGTTTTGTCACTGGTGGTTCTGTTGGTGGTGGTGGTTTTGTCGCTGGTGGTTCTGTTGGTGGTGGTGGTTTTGTCACTGGTGGTTCTGGCGATGGTGGTGGTTTTGTCACTGGTGGTTCTGGTGATGGTGGTGGTTTTGTCACTGTAAATATTTCACGCATAGAACAACATTTTACTCACGCAACGCTGCTTCGTTTTATTGCGGAACCTTAGAGAAAACTTTTTTTACTTTGCATTTTTCATACGTTTTAGTCTTTTGAAGAGTGAGCTAGGAGCAGTTACACTTGAAGAATCGCTCAAACATTCTGATTCTATTACTTGCAACAGCTTATATAAAGTGTAATCACCTTCAAGTTCTACACAACCTTCAGTATTTACAGTATTGTTTTGATCCGGAGTAGACGAAACATTTCATGTGGAGCCAGCACGTCCGCATCGCTGGGAGCTTTGCTGGCGCACTAAGCTGACATTTTGCCAAGTAAAGACACTATGGGGAACGAGGAGACGCAAAAGGTTCTCGCCACGATCCGCATACTGTAGCTGCGAAGCGGCGCGAAGCGTTGCGAAGCGGGCGCCCGTCAACCCAGTTTTCGCCTGAAGCGGGTTAGAAACCGCTGTATGTGTTACAGTGCAATTTCAAACAGCTCTGCGACTGATTAGCCGACAGGGGCTTTCAATGTGAGTGTCACGGTTGACGTTGTTCAGATCTTCGCGAGCCGCCTCGCTTGGGTCTCTCACGTGGTACAATACTGCACCAGCTAGGCTTTCGCGGTATCGGATGCAGTATTGTACTACGTGAGAGACCCAAGCGATGCGGCTTGCGAAGACCTGAACCACGTCGACACCCAGATTGAAAGCTCCTGTAAGTTATGCGCAATGGAACTCAACAATCATATGAAAGGCTCATCTTAATTGCAAGTACCAATTAATGCCAATCAACTTCTTCCTTTCTTCACAAGGATATCGCTATTAGCGCCCTTTGAATTCTTTTGCTCACAAAAAGGACTTTAGACTCATTCTTTATCCACGCGATTAAACGTTTGATTCAAAGATGCATAAGTTCGATGCAAAAGTTTCCTTTACTTTGACAATAACCGCTAGAAGTACCTGGTGGTTTGATTCCTGGATCACCGAAGCACATTGCCTGATGGAGTCTGAAATCAAGTTCGTCAAAAAGTTGTTTGTAAATACAATTGGTCTCTTATAACAGCAATAAATACAAGGAAGTTTTTGGACAATTCACAACTTACTCTTGCTCACAATCATCGACAATCCATTTTCCGTCTGCAATACGCATGCGTGCGCAGTACTTGAGCGGATTTAATCCTGTAAAAATTCTTGCACAGATTGCTAAAAGCGTGTGCGGAAAAAGAAATTCGCTTACCTTTTGCAAAATTCCGGAAGTCGAACGGTGTGTTGTCTGTCCAATGCCAGTCATCATAGCCCCATTTGGTACCTCCAATCCAGAATGATCCATAGTCCTTGTCAAAGAAAGCATGAGACAATTCTTAAGTTCGATTATTAGAGAAGGCGTATGAAAATTAGGCTAACGAAAATTTATTACGTTGTGCATATAGATTGAGCTGCATGTCATGAATGGAAATAAGCTCATAGCCAAATCTTTCTTGGCATGCTTTGCTAGCATCAACGAAGTTAAGTGCATCGTGAACGAATGCGTAGCACCTGAAAGCAAATTTTCAAGCTCTGCAATCATGAACTATACCCATATATATGTATATATATACTCACTTTTTGGTTATTTCATCATATATATGGCCCTTTGGGCAAGGATCCGTAGCTTGAGAGAGGGCCACTAGAGCTAACAGTAATATCCTTCCCAGCATTCTGAAAAACATGTTGAAGTTTATGCATCAAATTTAATCAACTCCGGAAGTCCAAACATCACCCCCCAACAAACACAAACAACTCTAGGTGACATTCATAAATTCCCATGATCGCTCAATGGTCAGCATTTCGCAGAAGGCCTATAACCAGGGTTGAGCATGAGATCAGGCGCGCCCGACCTGAGGGGTCGTATCGGGGGTAAGAGCAAGGGGGAGGGGGTCGTAATCAAGGAGCGAATTTGTTCGAAAAAGTGAAGAAATACTACGATCGAGTAAGATGAAGAAGAAAGAAGCTCAAACGTGAATCTCAGAACTCCACCAGAAGAATGAGTGTCGTGACAATGTGCTGATTTATTCGAGTAACGAAGTCTCAGATTTCAAAACTTCATCTTACCCTACACATACATAAGGTCACCGAAGAACTCTTTTGTGTAAATTAGGTATGATTTCCATAATCAACATGCCAAATTACTTCAACGAGCTCTACTGACCATTACTTATTACATTTTCAGTGTTTCTTGACATCTGAAAAGCATGATTTTCAAACTTAATTAACTTGGTCACAAAAGTGAAAGAGGTCAGCTTTTTTGTATTCACAACGAAGTAATTCTCTCTATTAGCCTATGGCAGAAACTGGACTTCATATCGCTTTCAAATAGTAGATTAAGAAGTGCTGCGAAAATTTCAACCGGCGCGTTTTTCGCCCTGAGTGCTTTAACTCCACCGATCCCCACAAAGTCAAAACAAGTTGAAGTAAGCTCTAACACGTATTGTAGAATCTTCGAGGTTTATGCTAATGAAATATATAAGACTGGGGTGGAAAAGCTTCTACGGTGACAAAGTTAATCGGGTCAGGCGCAACCCCTCAAAAGGTCAGGCCGCCTGAGCTTTTGAGGGGTTGCGCCTGACCCGATTAACTTGCCTTCAAAATCCAGAAACAGCTCCATTCCTAGCACGAAAATTCGGCTCATAGCCTCTTTTTGCTACAGTGAAAATTTGGAGCCGAACGCCCCACCCCTAGAAAAAATATGGCCCTTTCAAGAGGCCCGTCCAGATCAAAATCAGCGTCAAATTACGTGTGATGGCAAAGTGCACAGAAAATCGGGAGTGCAGTTCTCAAAAATCTGAAAACCTCTAGGAAAAGATGATGTCTTCCAGTACACCACATTCTGAGATTTCGGAGGACAAGAGGAGGAAAAAGGGGTCGTTATAGGGCTTCCACGAGGGGGGGGTCGTTTTTGAAAGACTTGTGCCTGACCTCTTGCTCAACTCTGCCTATAACTAGCGGTGCAGAAGAATGAATTAGGCGCTTATCATCGGAGTCCACCAATATCTATGCTGATGGTGAAGAGTCAAATCCACTCTGTATAAAGCATTTAACTCTTCAACAGAGCGTTTCCTTTTGGGGCTGCTGAAATGAAAGAAGTAATATGAGAGAATGCGGTTGTGCCAAGACTGCAGACCTTTTATAGGCTACGGTATTAATCTGTCAATTGTAATCTGTTGGTAGAATACGTTGATAAGGCTCATAAGGTTAGCAAAAAGCTTTGGAATTCTTTCTGCTGTCAAGGAGACAGTTTTCCGGGTAATATGGGCGTTTCTCACTGCTGTTATCGCAATATTTCGCATGTTTACCAGCAGAGTAAATGGAACGGACAATAAACGGACTAAACGGTAGGTTTCACCGCACGATTAAACTTACCTGCTCAGTATGACGCTTCGTTGAAATAATGGTTCTTCTTTCTATCTTTAGCACTCAAGAGAAACTCTGTAACAAGGGAAGGCACCCAACCTAGATTTAATCACCTTACCAAGTGTGACTCACGTAGGTAGAATCCGTTCAAGTTGCAAGTCCGATTATGTTATTTCCCTAGCTCTGAAGCTTTATTGCGAACAAAGTTTTGGAGTTTTTTTCCTTCTGTACAAAAATTGCATGCTACTTGACTTATTGACTTCTTAGACCGTCGAAGGGATACTTCCGGAAGGCAAATGCCGGGGGACTGCCACTCGTGCTCCGGAGCCTCCCATTTCACTTATTTTGGTGCTCCGGCGGTTCCTCCAAATCTGGCGCACCACCGGAGCAGAAATTTGCAAGTCCCGGAGAGGGGTCCCATTCGCCTCACGGTGACGTCACCGTGAGGCGAATGGGACTCCTCCCCAGGGCTCGCAAATCTCTGCTCCGGGGGTGCGCCAGATTTGGAGGAGCCCCGGAGCACCAAAATGGGTGAAAAGGGAGGGCTCCGGAGCACGAGTGGCAGACCCCCGTTGGGCAGAGCCCGCGACAATCCATTTTCGCTCCGGAGGTATGCCGTCTATTGGGAATGATTCCATCAACACCAAAAGACTTGATTTGATATCACCTCAATACTCCAGCATCATTCACCATTCTTACCATTGTTCTTCCTCTTCTTCTTCTTCTTCTCCTTCTGTTAGGCAGATTTCTACTCTACATGCATATGCATGCAAAAGTGCAACTATTTCCGCTTTTGCGGATGCACTGGATCTGATGAATAGCGATTCAGCCTAAAAATGCCGAATCCGGCAAACTTTTCACCAACTGCATGCTTAACACTACTTCTGCAATATCCTGGATACACCGAAGCATTACGAAGAAAAAAGAAACAGAGATGCCAAAAAAGAATCTCTTTTGTTGACAAGTGGCAACTTATGTTCATTCTCGCTTAGGTAGACGGTAAGAACACAAATCATCCTTTTCGTTTTGTAGCAGCATCTGCATCTATCGAAGCTTGGGCAGTTTTTCAGATTACATTTGTAATGTGTACAATGACTGCAGCAAAGCGATGATGTAGACGTGAAATATGTTGAGTTCGCGAATTCTGCCAAAATTTCTTTTGTTTCATTCTTGGAAAATCTCGGATTTTCTTCGGCTTGAACTTTCTTCATAGTGTAGTAGGCGGAAGAATATCCATCTGCATGACGGATGCTGCAAGTTCGTAAAACCAGCAAGTTTTTATGTCGCTTCTGTAAGAATACCTCCTCAATCCTCCTTTTTCTTACAGTTCCTCTGTATCGTCTAGTGTATTTTCTTTTCTATACATTTTTTGGATTTTCTACTTTCTCCAATCTGATGCTTTAACGTCTCAAAAAGGGTACAGAAAATAACAGAGAAATTGGAAGTCTAATCATCCATTTTGGGAGCACCCTCAGAAAATGATGCCAAAAGCTTGCGATTTTTAGAATTAAAAAAATGCTTTCCTATTACCAATAAAACCAAAATGGTGCATACACTTTCGAATTCTTGCACAAATGTACAAACATAATTGCGCTATCTCTTCATGTGCTCTGGACGCTAAGGACTATGCCCCTCTGCCTACCACTTTTTCCGATCTCTTGCTTATCATCTAAAAGGATGCCTATCGAAGAAGTGGCCTTAAAGCGGACTTTCGGCCTAAAATGATTGTTTTGATCAAAGAATCAGAAACGTCAACGAAAAGGATGCAACCCTATGGCAAAAACGGTCACAAAGCGGATTTCCCGTCATGAAAAGACGCACCAAGAAGATGACATGCCAGTGGCTAGACCTTTGCACTTCTTCGACATGCCTTTATGATATTTTTACAAGCTCCTAGCTTTTTAAGATCAAAATTTACAAGTGTAGCAGAGGTTGATTATTTATCTAAGATTTCTATGTATTTAAATTAATGTTTATGTTTTCAAAAACTACAGAAATACTGGGATTACTTCCCACAGTCAAGAAATTGTACCAAGTGGGAATTGACTAGTACGCACCAATAGTCTGGATCTTGACAACTGTTTCAGCACGTTATTCGTCCTCACTTTAAGGCCGTATGCGCCTTACGTATTAGCTCGGTTCAAAAGTTCGTACCGTTTTTAAGACTTATGCTCAAATCTGTGACAATTATGATAGAGAGAAGCTCTAAACATTGCTTCAATGCATGACTTCTTTTGTATTTCAGTAGTGAAATTTTCTTTCCAAGTCCCTTAATGATCGTTAGTTCGAATGCAGAGTAGTCTCCAAGCAGAGGTTTTATCTACTATAGTTTGGGCTGTTTTTCAGAATTTCAATGCAAATCTTTGCAGGAGCCATGACTGCTGGATAGAGTGAACAAAGTGCGACTCATTATATTATATATTTGGACCTCAACTGGATTTTCAGTATCTTTCAAAATAATTTCCAAAGATCTTCACTTTTGCGAAGCGGTCAAATACAATACGTAAATATTGCGAATATTTCGGATACAGCATGAGACGTGTTTGAGAGCAAGAACCTTGGTGGTTTTAACTTTGAAGATTTTATAAATCAGGAGCAAAAGAAGCTTTGCAGATTGAAAACCTACAGGCGCCCCTGTTGCACGCAAGGTTTTGTTGTATGCGGTTTGGAATTCCCAAATATGAGATTTGGTAACATAAAAACTGATCCCGAAAATTTTGAAAGCCAGTTATGGATACCGATATGTAATGTATTGCACTTACTTTACTCTACCCAACTGTCATCAAAGCTTGAATGGGAAACCCAAAAATAGCCGAAGTTAAGGGCAGTGATAACCATGAATTTTGAAATCGGTTGAATACCAAAGCGTTCATCAAAGAACTGGGAACAAAACATCACTCATTATTAACAAAACATCTTTGAAAAGAATAGAAAAGTTTGCACTATAGAACAGCATGAAGTTTTCGACCCTCCTGGTATAAACGTCATTGTCGGAAAATTACCTCATCAGAAGGAATTCTTCTGATGAGGAAATATTTTCAGTTATCCCCTCCAAGTAATGCTATGACATTCTCTTATCAACATATCAAAAACAGAGTAATGATGAATTATGTGCAACCTCCACTGTTTCACCTTTATAGTACTGCTTTTTCCAAAAGCCGTTCACCTACGGGAACGCAACAAAAATGTGCAGAGAAACTACATTAGCGGTGCTCAGCAATTGGAACATTTGTGTGATTTTAGACGGTTATTACTTTAACTAGCTGGCCTACCCGGCTCTGCCCGGCCCTGTCAAAACACTGTAATGAAGGTCTCATCCCTATCCCTGTACAGTCTTTCCCTGTGCCCACTTCTACACTTC